GAGATATATGACAAATTAGGTAAGGTAGCACTTAAAATAAAGGAGATAGGCTATGTTCCTAAGACAGACTTGGTGCTTCACGAGGTGGAGGATGAACAAAAGGAGCAATATCTTTTCCAGCACAGTGAGAAAATTGCTTTGGCCTTTGGTCTTATTAGCACATCCAAACAAAAGCCCATCAGAATATTCAAAAATCTTCGAGTATGTGGAGATTGCCATAATGCGGTGAAGTTCATATCAGTAGCAGAGGGAAGAGAGATAATCATTAGAGATTCTAATCGTTTTCACCATATTAAAGATGGACTCTGCTCCTGCAATGACTATTGGTGAAAGTCTTATTGTCAATTATGGTCTTATTGGCAAGTACAGACCAAAGTTGCAAACATGACTAGAATACTACAGATCATTCTAGTATATGGCGATGAGCATAGTGCTATGAAGCCATGTATCTGCAATCGTGTAGATAAGTACAGAACGAAACCATATGACTTGCACATTCATTTTTCTGGTGTATTTTGTATATCCCAGTTTGTATTATGTAATGAGGAAAAACCAAAATTTGCAAATTTTAGCAACTACGGAATTGTCATTTATTAGTTGATGTTTGATTCATAATATTGTCATTAACTACATAAGCGTTGTATTTTAACTTTACAAAATTTCTGTGTTTTCTGGTAGCTTTGCCGTGGATCGTGATCTTACATAGGCTTTGTTTGTATTGAAGCCCATTGCTGATAGCTGTTGCATATATGTTCTTTTTGCTCTTCTTTTGAGATAGGGGTAATGTCGAACTCTAGATCATACGTCAACTTACAGATTTTTGCATTGAGAAAACAAGGAACATTTCTTTGTTCTGTGCATTATTGAGAAATAATCAGTCCTTAACTACTTTGTATTTCATATAAATTAATATTTGCCACCAGATAATGCCTCCCACTTTGTACTAATAAAAGTTTTTATTTGGACCTTGCTCTCAGCTTAGTGGGCAAGTGGGCAATTAAGAAGCTATTATTACATTAATGTTGAGAAGGGTGTCATTTTGTTTCTCTATAAAAACCAGAGCTTCGTACTCAACTATGCAACACAAGTCTTAGTTCTGTCCTTTCCTTCTCCAAGTATAGTGGTTCCAGTTCAAAATGAAAAGCTTAGGGAAGTTGGGACAATGATCTTTTCTAACAGTTGCTTTGGCAATTTGCTTAATAGCCAGCACTGTTGTTGCTGATTACTCTTATGAGTATACTTCACCCTCACCTTCTCACTACTCTAACAAGTACTACAAATCACCATCTCCATCCAATTATCATGTGCCCACTCCTTATTACAAGAAACCTTATCCATCACACTACTACAACAAATCACCAACACCTTTAAAGCACACTTATTACAAATCGCCATCACCAGCAAAATATTACAAGTCACGTGTTCCTTCAAAGCATTACTACTACAAGTCACCCATTGTAACCAAGTATTACAAGTCACATGTTCCTTCAAAACACTACTACAAGTCACCGGTTGCAACAAAGTATTACTACAAGTCCCCAACTCCTTCAAAGCATTATTACAAATCACCCACTCCTTCTAAGTATTACTACAAGTCCCCAACTCCTTCAAAGTACTACTACAAGTCCCCCTCGCCAGCAAAGTACTACAAGTCGCCTACTCCGTCAACACACTATTACTACAAGTCACCATCCCCAACAAAATACTACAAATCACCCGCTCCATCTAAATACTACAAATCGCCTTCACCAACAAAATATTACAAGTCACCAGTTTACTACAACTCTCCTCCACCACCACCAACTTACTATGAGAAATCACCTTCATACTACAAGTCACCTCCACCTCCACCAAAATACTATGAGCAATCACCTAAGTACTACAAGTCACCTCCACCCCCACCGAAATACTATGAAGAATCACCATCATCTTACAAATCTCCACCACCTCCACCAAAATACTACGAGCAACCACCAACTTATTACAATTCTCCTCCTCCACCATACTACCAAGAATCTACACCTTCCTATAAATCTTCTCCACCTCCTCCAAAGACCTATGAACAATCACCTACATACTACTCACCTCCACCACCACCGTACTACAAAGAAACACCAACCTATGCCTCACCGCCACCACCTGAGAAGTACGAGGAACCTGTCACCTATGCTTCAGCTCCACCACCTGAGAAGTACGAGGAACCTGTCACCTATGCTTCACCTCCACCCCCATCACCATCTCCCCCACCACCAATCTACTACTAATAGTCAAATCCATTCTTTTCAATCTTTTCCACTAACTTTGGGGTTTTCCATTTCCTTTTATGCTTCCCAAAATGATGGACTTTGTGTGCTGTTTGTTCTTTTGTTTAATAATTCGTAATATTTATCATTGGAGATTCAAGTAAGATCTCCATCATTTTGGCTTATTGTATCAAGGTTTTATTTTGGTGTAATTTATCGAGAATTCTACTTTGCTCAATACCAACTTCTCTTTGTCTAATATTTCTCAAGAGTATTTTCCCCTCAATAATGGCATATAACTTATCTACTACAAAATTTAACGAGAAAAAAAATAGGAAAGGTGCAAATTATGGTCTGGATGATGCTTCAACGAATTGCTGTATTTTGGATATGGATTATAAGTGTACTTACCAGCTTTTAAGAAAATAAAATTGTACATAAAATAAACAGAATAATAAAAAACTGAAGAGAATTTTAATTTAGTCGTATGAATTATGCTTCTAAAAATATTTATCGATGGAAAAATAAGTGAAAAGATATAATATTGTGGTGGATCTTAAAAGGTGAAATTACAATATACAAAACAAAGACTCCATCAGAAATTAGCCCAATATAACTTTTTTTTTTTCACTTTTCTTAAAAACATGGATGGTATTCCCACTTTCTTTTTCATTCTCATAATAAATAAGTTAAACAATAAATATAAATTTTAATAATCTCAAATAAAGAAAAAATCTATAATAAAAAATGTTGCAGTTACCTTTTAAATATGAAAATTGTATTTCAATATTATTTTAAGATTGGTAAGTTTACCAAAGACGAAAATGATTTATTTGATATTATGGATGACTGGTTACGGAGGGACCGTTTCGTTTTTGTAGGACACACCTAAATTATTTGTGCTGCTATTTAACTCCTCCCGCCGGCTGATATTTCCGGTGCCGGTCGTCGGCCTCCGCTGGTCGATGCTCCCTCGTTTGCTGCGTCAATGACTACTTCCTTATTAGTTATTGGGAGAGATGATTGGACAAGACATGACACATTTGCATGTTATCGAGTACAAGACCCTAGATAGTAAGATATAAAGGTCAAAGATTAGGGTAGAAGGTAAGTAAATAGTCTAGCGTTGTCTTGTTTCTTTATGTTGCTGCTACAGTTCTCTTCTTCATTGTTTCCAACATGGCTTTTTCATTTATGTATTTGCTTTGAACACTTGATTTGTGTTATATTTTACTTGAGACGAGGGTTTACTGGAAATAATCTCTTTACCTTTCCTCAAGGTAGGGTTAAGGCTACATAACACTACCATCCCTTAACCCTGGGATTACACCGGGTATATTGTTGTAATACTTAATAATTTGATCTTTTTGATAGAATTAAGGGTTGTCAACCAATGAGGATTCTTTGAATTTTATACTTATCCCTACTCTGTCTTGTAATCCCTCTTCAAACTAAGAAGACTCATGTCAAACACCTGCCTAACATAAGTGTACCAAGTTGTGTTATGTAAGCCATGAGTTAGGTGTGAAATAGGTTTTGCACTTTGCCGCAGTTAAGTGGCTTCACTGCACGCACCTATATGGATAGTAGGCTTGTGTTGTGTTCAATACTAAGTTTGTATGAACTCCAAGAGATTGTAGATCCTTTAAGGCAACTTTCCTCCATATGATTTTTGGTCTACCTTATTCCACGGGCGGAGCCACCTTAGGCAAATGGTGGTCTGGTGAACACCCTTCGCCATAAAATTATATGGTGTACAGAAGTTAAATGTTAGTTAATATGAGAGTATATTTAAGTTTGCACACCTATGAGAAAAAAAATTGCACATCCCTCGCTAAATTCCTGGCTCCGCTACTACCTTAATCCCCTTAATACATTCAGTTTTCATGTTGCGTATACCTGCATTTGGTTTCCACGTACGAGTGGGACATGATCAAACCATCTTCTTTTACTATCTCATGCCACTTTTGCTTTTCTTTTTCCCTCTACCTGTGTGTAAATTCTACCTGATGTGATTACTTCTAATTTTGTCTTTGTACATGAAAAAGAAAAAAGATATAGTCCTATGGTATAACTACAGGCTACTAATGCTTTTTTTTTCTTCGAATAAGCAATTCATATGCTAATTTTTAAAGAGACCATAGGAATTGGCATTTTCTCCGAGAAAGATAATCATGGTGAGCTTCATTGAAGAAGTTGTGTAAAGAACATCGTCGACTTCATGTACCATTCGTTATGTATATTGTCATTAATTACATAAGCATTGTGTTTTAACTTTTCGAAATTTCTGTGTGTTTCTGGTAGCTTTGCCGTGGATCTTGATCTTATATAGGCTTTGTTTGTATTGAAGCCCATTGCTGCTGATAGCTGTTGCATATATATTCTTCTTTTGAGATAGGGGTAATGTCGAACACTTGATCATATGTCAACTTACAGATTTTGGCATTGAGAAAACAAGGAACGTTTCTTTGTTCTGTACATTATTCAGAAATAATCAGTCCTTAACTACTTTGTATTTCATATTAATTATTATTTGTCACCAGATAATGCCTCCCACTTTGTACTGATAAAAGTCTTTATTTAGACCTTGCTCTCAGCTTAGTGGGCAAGTGGGCAATTAAGAAGCTATTATTACATTAATGTTGAGAAGGGTGTCATTTTTTTCTCTATAAAAACCAGAGTTCCCTACTCAACTATGCAACACAAGTCTTAGTTCTGTCCTTTCCTTCTCTAAGTATATAGTGGTTCCATTTCAAAATGAAAAACTTACAGAAGTTGGGACAATGGTCTTTTCTAACAATTGCTTTGGCAATTTGCTTAGTTGCCAGCACTGCTGTTGCTGATTACTCTTATGAGTATACTTCACCTTCACCTTCTCACAACTCTAACAAGTACTACAAATCACCATCTCCATCCAACTATCATGTGCCCACTCCTTATTACAAGAAACCTTATCCATCACACTACTACTATAAATCACCAGCACCTTCAAAGCATGCTTATTACAAATCGCCATCACCAGCAAAATATTACAAGTCACATGTTCCTTCAAAGCATTACTACTACAAGTCACCCATTGTAACCAAGTATTACAAGTCACATGTTCCTTCAAAGCACTACTACAAGTCACCGGTTGCAACAAAGTATTACTACAAGTCCCCAACTCCTTCAAAGCATTATTACAAATCACCCACTCCTTCTAAGTATTACTACAAGTCCCCAACTCCTTCAAAGTACTACTACAAGTCCCCCTCGCCAGCAAAGTACTACAAGTCGCCTACTCCGTCAACACACTATTACTACAAGTCACCATCCCCAACAAAATACTACAAATCACCCGCTCCATCTAAATACTACAAATCGCCTTCACCAACAAAATATTACAAGTCACCAGTTTACTACAACTCTCCTCCACCACCACCAACTTACTATGAGAAATCACCTTCATACTACAAGTCACCTCCACCTCCACCAAAATACTATGAGCAATCACCTAAGTACTACAAGTCACCTCCACCCCCACCGAAATACTATGAAGAATCACCATCATCTTACAAATCTCCACCACCTCCACCAAAATACTACGAGCAACCACCAACTTATTACAATTCTCCTCCTCCACCATACTACCAAGAATCTACACCTTCCTATAAATCTTCTCCACCTCCTCCAAAGACCTATGAACAATCACCTACATTCTACTCACCTCCACCACCACCGTACTACAAAGAAACACCAACCTATGCCTCACCGCCACCACCTGAGAAGTACGAGGAATCTGCCACCTATGCTTCACCTCCACCCCCATCACCATCTCCCCCACCACCAACCTACTACTAGTAGTCAAATCCATTCTTTTCAATCATTTTCCACCAACTTTGGGGTTTTCCATTTCCTTTTATGCTTCCCAAAATGATGGGCTTTGTGTGCTGTATGTTCTTTTGTTTTAATAATTCGTAATATTTTTCATTGGAGATTTAAGTAAGATCTCCATTATTTTGGCTTATTGTATCAAGATTTTATTTTGGTGTAATTTATCAAGAATTCTACTTTGCTCAATACTATTTCTCTTTGTCTAATATTTCTCTTGAGTATTTTCTCCTCAATAATGGCTTATAACTTATCTACTACAAAAAATTTAACAAGAAAAAAAATATGAGGAACGGTGCAAAATATGGTAATGGATGGATGCTTCAACAAATTGCTGTATTTTGGATATGGATTATAATTGTACTTATCACCTTTTAAGAAAATAAAATTATATAAAATAAATAGAATTTTAATTTAGTCGTATGCATTATTCTTCCAAAAATATTTATCGATGGAAAATAAGTCAAAAGATATAATATTGTTGTTGATCTTAAAAGGTAAAACTACAAAATACTCCACCAGAAATTAGCCCAATATAACTTAAATTTTTTCAGTTTTCTTAAAAACATGGATGGTATTCCCACTTTCTTTTTCATTCTCATAATAAATAAGTTAAACAATAAATATAAATTTTAATAATCTCAAAATATTGGTAGATTCTCAATTTGGTGAGGATATAATACTTTGCTTTAATTCCATTCCCCTGCCAATAGTTTCCCTTAATTAGTTGGCGTTGTTTATGTTTACTGTAAGGACGGTGGCATACGTTGGTCCTGGAGTTTGGTTGACTATGGTAATTATGAGGAGAGGTAGAGGTATGCTGAATTAGTATTGGGAGAGGTGATTGGATAAGGCATGACACGTTTGCATCTTTCCGAGTACATGACCCTAGATAGTAAGATATGGAGGTCAAAGATTAGAGCAGAAGATTAGTAAATAGTCTAGTGTTGTCTTGTTTCTTATGTTGTTGCTACGGTTCTCTTCTTCATTGTTTCCAATATGGCTTTTTCATTTATGTATTTGCTTTGGATACTTGATTTGTGTTATGTTTTACTTGAGTTGAGAGTCTACCAGAAATAACCTCTTTACCTTTCCTCAAGGTAGGGTTAAGGCTAGATAACACTAAATACGCTCCCTTAACCCTGGGATTACACTGGATATGTTGTTATAATACTTTTGTCAATCAATGAGGATTCTTTAAATTTTATACTTATCCTTATTCTGTCATGTAATCCCTCTTCAAACTAAGAAGACTCATGTCAAACACCTGTCTAACATAAGTGTACCAAGTTGTGTTATGTAAGCCATGTGCGAAATAGGTTTTGCACTTCGCCGCAGTTAAGTGGCTTCAGTGCACACACCTATATGGATATTAGGCTTGTGTTATGTTCAATACTAAGTTCGTATGAACTCCAAGAGATTGTAGATCCTTTAAGGAAACTTTCCCCATATGATTTTTGGTCTGCCTTATCAAGGGCGGAGCCACCTTAGGCGAGGGTGGTCTGGTGAACACCCTTCGCCATAAAATAATTATATGGTGTACAATGGTTAAATGTTAGTTAATATGAGTGTATATTTAAGTTTGCACACCTTTAATACAACCAAGAAGAAAATTTGCACATCCTTCACTAAATTCCTGGCTCCGCTACTACCTTATTCCCCTTAATACATTCAGTTTTCATGTTATGTATACCTGCATTTGGTGTACACGTACAAGTGGACATGATCAAACCATCTTCTTTTACTATCCCATGCCATTTTTGCTTTTCTTTTTTATTTCCCTCTATCTGTGTGTAAATTATACAATATGTGATTACTTCTTATAATCTTGTCTTTAAACATGAAAAAAGAAAAACTATAATCCTAAGGTATAACTACAGGCTACTAATGTTTTTTTGTTTTTTTTTCGAATAAGCAATTCATAATCTTATATAGGCTTTGTTTGTATATATATTCTTCTTTTGAAATAGGGGCAATGCCGAACACTTGATCATATGACAACTTACATATTTTGGCATTGAGAAAACAAGGAACATTTCTTTGCTCTGTGCATTATTCAGAAATAATCAGTCCTTAACTACTTGGTATTTAATTTTAATTATTATTTGTCATCAAATAATGCCTCCCACTTAGTACTGATAAAAGTCTTTATTTAGACCTTGCTCTCAGCTTAGTGGGCAAGTGGGCAATTACGAAGCTATTATTTCATTAATGTTGAGGAGGGTCTCACTTTTTGCTCTATAAAAACCAGAGCTCTCTACTCAACTATGCAACACAAGTCTAAGTTCTATCCTTTCTTTCTCCAAGTATATAGTGGTTCCAGTTCAAAATGAAAAGCTTAGACAAGTTGGGACAATGGTCTTTTCTAACAGTTACTTTGGCAATTTGCTTAGTAGCCAGCACAGTAGTTGCTGATTACTCTTATGAGTATACTTCACCCTCACCTTCTCACAACTCTAACAAGTACTACAAATCACCATCTCCATCCAACTATCATGTGCCCACTCCTTATTACAAGAAACCATATCCATCACACTACTACTATAAATCACCAGCACCTTCAAAGCATGCTTATTACAAATCGCCATCACCAGCAAAATATTACAAGTCACATGTTCCTTCAAAGCATTACTACTACAAGTCACCCATTGTAACCAAGTATTACAAGTCACATGTTCCTTCAAAGCACTACTACAAGTCACCGGTTGCAACAAAGTATTACTACAAGTCCCCAACTCCTTCAAAGCATTATTACAAATCACCCACTCCTTTTAAGTATGACTACAAGTCCCCATCGCCCGCACAGTACTACAAGTCCCCATCTCCAGCAAAGTACTACAAGTCACCTACTCCATCAACACACTATTACTACAAATCACCATCCCCAACAAAATATTACAAATCACCCGCTCCATCTAAATACTACAAGTCACCTTCACCAACAAAATATTACAAGTCGCCAGTTTACTACAAGTCACCTCCACCAAAATACTACGAGCAACCACCAACTTATTACAATTCTCCACCTCCACCATACTACCAAGAATCTACACCTTCCTATAAATCTTCTCCACCTCCTCCAAAGATCTATGAACAATCACCTACATACTACTCACCTCCACCACCACCGTACTACAAAGAAACTCCAACCTATGCCTCACCGCCACCACCTGAGAAGTACGAGGAACATGTCACCTATTCTTCACCACCACCACCTGAGAAGTACGAGGAACCTGTCACCTATGCTTCACCTCCACCCCCTTCACCATCTCCCCCACCACCAACCTATTACTAGTAGTCAAATCCATTCTTTTCAATCATTTTCCACCACCTTTGGGGTTTTCCATTTCCTTTTATGCTTCCTAAAATGACCGGCTTTGATTGTTGTGTGTTCTTTTTGTATTAATAATTCGTAATATTTAACTTCGGAGATTTAAGTAAGATCCTTGAGATCTTCATCAATTTGATTTATTGTATCAAGATTTTATTTTGGTGTAATTTATCATGAATTCTATCTTTGTTTCATATTTTTTTGTTCTAATTGACTGAATTCTTACGCATAGGCATAGGCATAGGCATATGCATATTTTGTTAATTTTCCAATTATTTTTCTGAAAGGATTTATCAACGGGAAATAAGCCATAAGACATAGCGTTGATCTGAAAAAGGTGGAAATATAAAATGAATAAATAGAAGAACACCAGGAATTAACACTGTGTAACACAATAATCTTCACTTTTCATAAAAATAAATAATCGTAACTGTATTTCCACTCTTTTTCATTTCTCATAATAATAAGTATGTTTGAAAATAAATATAAGTTTTAATAATCTCAAACAAAGAACAAATTTACCAGGGGTGCCAAACGAATACGAAAAATCGATCGAATCGATCGAAGTCAATCGAATCAAATCGATCAAAGTCAACCGAATCGAATCGATCGAAGTCAACCGAATCAAATCGATCGAAGTCAACCGATTCAAATCGATTTATATCATTTTTTCAATAAAATAATGGACTTTTATTTAAGTGTATAACCGTCTCGAACAATAGGGAATTTTTTTAATTTATAAAAAAACCCAAAAAAATCTGAACCTAATCGAATAGCCTTACGTGTATATAAATATATTTTATATATGAACAATATGTCAAATTTAATATATAAATATATTTTATACTTAATTTTTTTCAAATATAAATATAACCTAAGTCCTAGACCTGGTGACTAGATGACTTTAGGTCTTTACTCTTTAATTAACATTTACTTAATTATGTTTAAAATTAAAAGATACTATAATAGATACTCCTATCAAACAATACGACACAACATATGCAAGCAATTCTATTAAATTTTTAAGATAAAAAAATACGACAACAAGGTTTTACATTCTTGACTTCTTGGTGAAGAATTGAAGTACTTCTTCAGGAATATACTTGCGAAAGAAATATTTTGATAATAGTATATTTTGAGGTGATATTTTAAAAATAAAAAAATTGAAAATTCATTGAATGGTACCGATATCGAAGAGAAACCGATATGATTGTGATAGTTTTGAAAATTTTAATTTTGGTTATACATTATAAAATACTTAAAAAATTGAGATAGTATAATTTTTTTTTAAATAATTGACCGAACCGTCTCATTAACCTCCTTAAAACTTACCACAAAGCTTACAACTAATATAATATAGGAATAAATATTTTTTTTACCTTCTTTGATAATTGTTTCTTAATATTGAAATCGATACTACAAAATAAGTGAGATATATAAAGTTAGGTAACTAGAATAAGTGAAATCATAAGGAATATTTTTGTTTTCAAAGTTTACACTCTTATACAATAAAGTTTACTAGTCGTACTTACTATAAAATAAGATAAAGAACAAACGAAAAAGGGTGAAAATTGCCCCTGAACAATGCGAAATAGACCACTTATACCCTTCGTTATATCTTGGGATAAAAAATGCCCAT